AAAACTTTTTGACCTATCTTGTTCATGATCTTTATCTTCACTAAATTTCTGAATCTATGATATGTTTATGAAGGGCATCAAATCTTTTAATAGAGTCACTAATTTTTCCTTCTGCTTGTAAGACAGCATTCTCAGGTGAATCATTACTAAAATAATACTTCAAACAGTAATTATTCTGAAATTTGTCTCCACGCATTAATCATGGTGGGTAGGTTATGGGTATGTGTACCACCCTTTGCAAACATTTATTGAAATCCACCCTGATATATGAGCTGAGGTTCACAGATTTTCTGAAATGGGCAATTCAAGTTAATGAGGGAAAGTGATTTCTTGTGCATACTAGGACTGTTGACGTCTGTCTGTGGAACAATCATGAAAGCTTGCATATTCTGCACTTACTCCATGCCAGTTACTATTTAAGTGTTTTACATACGTTAACCTATTTAACCATCACAACAACTGTGGGATATGTACTGTTATGGACACTATAGAGAGGAGGAAAGTGAGCAACATGGAGGCTAAATAACTTGCCAGAGTCCCACAGATAGAACATGGCGGAGCTGGGGTTCCATCCAGGCAATGGACTCCGGAATCTTCCCTCAAACACACTCCACCATCCTGCATACCCTGTGGCCAAAGCAAGAATTGAGTTTCCAATTTACACAGTTCAAATTTCTGCTAAATTATAAAACAGTCTATAATTTAGCTAAATTTTAAGTATTAATACAAGCAAATCAATCACCTGCATTATGCCCTGAAATTCACAGAAACATCTAATAATATTTTTTTTCCTGCAAAATCACTAGGATCTTTTAAAGCCATATGACTTCACTATGTACATTAATTTCTGCATGCCCACGAAAGCCTGTGACCCATCAAGAGAGGGGGTAGGCTTAGATGCGCAGACTTCAGAGTCCCACAGCGAGGGATCAGATCCCAATTCTACCACGCCTTAGATAGACGGCTTGGAGCAAGTAACTTGACCTCACTTGGTTTTCTCATATTTAAAATGGGATTAAAACAGTATGCATCTCATAAGATTAAGTTAACCTACCAGTGTGGAAGCATTTAGTTTAATGCCCACCATGTTCTGAGCACTCAGCCAATGGTAGCTGTGGTGCTTGTTGTTGTTGGTATTTCCAAAATGTGCTCCACCTGAGCCCTCATGGCAAGGACATGGGAGTTTCTACAGGGCAGAGTAAGAAGTCTCTTCTCAACCAATGCAGCATCCCTCTATCATAATGAATGGCCCTTCTTTCACCATCTTCAAATTTCAAGGGGGGGGCCGGCCCTGTGGCTTAGCGGTTAAGTGCGCGGGCTCCGCTGCTGGTGGCCCGGGTTCGGATCCCTGGCGCGCACCAACGCACTGCTTCTCCGGCCATGCTGAGGCCGTGTCCCACATACAGTGACTAGAATGATGTGCAGCTATGACATACAACTATCTACTGGGGCTTTGGGGAAAAAAAAAAGGGGAGGATTGGCGATGGATGTTAGCTCAGGGCTGATCTTCCTCACACACACAAAAAAAATTTCAAGGGGCTTCATCCAGTTTGTTTTTGTCACTGCTATTTCTAATAACTGTCTACCTCCTTATTTGCATCACACTCTGATTTAAGGAGTGATTTTATTTTGAAGGAGTCTAGCAGAGAATGTGACTCTGATGAGATCGTCTGGAAAGAAAATCCTACCTGAATGACTGTGATGTGGAGAAACCTATTGTGAGCAATCCACACACAATTCAAGACTAATTCATAATGTGAAAGTAGGACTTAAGGTGGCAGTTAGAATTAATGATTTGAAAGTGTGCATCTGTACAAGGATGTTTCATACTTACAAAGCGACGATACAAATGTGTTTTGATGGTTTGGTAATGATATAGATACTTCTGTTTTTATTTCTTTTCATTGTGGTCAGGTGGGTGGGGGAAACTGCATTGAGATTATCGTCTGGTTTCCTAAATTGAATTCTCATTATTTTTAAGAAAATACTTTTTCTGGACAACTAGTGTTGAGATTCAGGATAGTCTATTACCTGCTGAGGCTTTGTGTATAAAATATCAAAGAACTTTTGGAGTTTTTGAAGTTTCGCTTGTAATGTAGAATTCGTCATTAGAGTCTTAAGTTTTGTGGTGAATATTTAGTTCCATATCGGTTTATTACTATTCCTGCACATGTTTAAGAAATACATACGTATTTACATTAGGATGATAGTTAGTTAAAGGAATCATTATCCACCTAAATTACAAAAGTCAAAAAACAGAATAAGTCTCAATTTTTCTCTTCTTTTCATTATTCAGTCAACTACCAAGGATGGTTATTTTATTTTATAAATTTATCTTGAAATTATCCTCTCCTTAATATTCTTTATGGCCTAGTTTAGTTGAAGATTCATGCACTCATGAGTGTAGGAGCTGGATGAGTATCATAAATGATAAAAGCAGAACTCCTGGAAAGTAATAGTGAGTGGTGGAATCCTGGCAAACTGGAGACCATATGCTCTCAATGGGGTAGAGTCAGTAATCAGATAAAGAGGATGTTTGAAACTTGTCCAGTGTTGGGGCCAAAAAAAAAAATATATGAATAATGGTTGCAGATCGTGGACTGCAGATTTGCAACCTTTATTTTACACTCTCATCAGTTTTCTTCTGTATTGTGGCAGTGGCTCCTGACTTCAGCTATATTTGTGTCCAATGCATCCTCTATACTGGCACCAGGTGATGTTTCCAAGACGCCAACAATGATTGTGCCACTTTCCTTTTTCAAACAACTACTGCACCACCACACTGAGTACTGCATAAAACGCAAAGCCCACATTCTCTACCATGACATATAAGAGGTCCTTCTTGGATCTAGCCTTGTCTTATTTTTTCAGTCTCCCCACTCGCCACATCTCTCCCTTATCCACACAGCTTCAGAAATACAGAATTACACACCTTCATCCAAGTATGCTGTGTTGTTGAGGCCCCTATTCTTGTCCTCTGTAACTGCAATTTTATCCTCACCTTGTCCAAGTGGTGGACACCACTCCAACCTTACTTAGGCCTCAGTTCCTCTCTGAAGGCTCCCCTTTCATGCACACTTGCTAGGCTGTACTACAAATGGTCTTCAAAATACAGCTCTCCTTAAATGCTTGCGTGCATCACACCAATCCGTTCAAGTCTGCATTCCATATCTGCCCACTTTATTAATTGGCCTCTGTCTTCCTCTAATTCCCAGACCATCTCTCTTTTCTGCCTCTCTTGTGTCTAGCACAGTGCCTGTACATAGTGTGCATTCTTTAATTGTGAATCTGAATAGTAACTTGTGGCCAACACGCTTTCCATCTTTCCATATTCTGCTATGAAGGTGGTAAGAAAGAGAATGATGAATGTGTTCTGTGGACATTTCTTAAAGGGACAAAATTATTGAAAATACTTTATCTCCAAGGCAATAAGTCTATTTTTTTGATCCTTAAAGTTATATAAGGGCTATATGTTTTCAGATTCACTTTGTTCTAGGAATTTCCACTTTGGCGTAATCAAACAGAAAGTACTATTTAGGAAAGAGGGCAAAACCCCCGTAAATCCCAGTTGTGGGTTGACTTCAGAAAACACTAATACATATGGTGTCACCCAACTGCTGACTGATCAGCCCATATCAGGCAGTATCTCCACTGCTTGGGTTTAATGGGCGTTTATACAGCGTTTGGCTCACGATGTTGTGTCAAGCAATCTTCTATCTACACTACACCAGGTATACGGTTCATAATTTTTGACCTGTGTGATTTATGTGTCTGTTTTCCAAAGCTTTTGTTTTGATATCAGAAACCATAAATCCTTCAAAGTCCTGCAGTTGTAGTGTTAACTGCCAACGGCATTGATTTGCAATTGGTGTGAGAGTATGCTTCAACTCTTTTACAATAATTCTGATTTGTTTTTGAACGACAACTTTTTTTACCACTGAAATCCTCAGATGTAGAATTTTCTCTAACTTTTCAATAAAAATAGGTTCACTTGAAATGTGAACCCTAATCTAAGGGTTGAAATGTGTTCACCCTAATCTAGGCCTCTGAGTTCATTTCCTGGGTTTTACGTCAACCTTTTAGTTAAGGCTAGTGTTTGATAACTCTTATTAGTTTCCCTACTGCTGGAGTACAATCAATAATTATTGCTTCTATGGATTATTTTTTTTAATTTGTGTAGATTCTAGTGTAGATGTTAGTCATACATAGATAACACATATACATATACATACGTGCATGTGTGTATTGGGGGCAGAGCCAGCTATATCTCTGTTGGCAATCAGCAATACATTTTATTTTTAATTACCCTATGTATTTTATGAAGAAAAACACATTAAAGGCTAATTTGAGAGTCATTATAAACTATGTAATTTCACATGTGGGTTCTTACAATGACTACAAATGTCATCAAAACCATTTTTTAAATTATAGGCTTTTAATGCCCCTAGAGTATGCTTCATTTTTTGCATAATTAATAAGAATAATATAATTCTTCAACCTTGATAGAATCTATGATGGTGATTTTGGCACATTAAACCTTCATATGAAATACCTTTTAAAATTGTGGATAGGCGTATTTGTTTGGAGTGGGTGTGTAGGGGGAGGATGATACGAAGCAGAAGTTATTGAGAAGAAAACCATTAGGAATATGTGGGTCAGTCCAAGTAGATGTTAGCTTATCTGCTAAGACATGTGCACAGCTCACTGATGAAAGCATTTGCAAAAGAATATCAAGTCTCTGGAAAAAATGATCTAACATCTCGCTCGTGTGCAGGTAATTCATTCTTCTTTATAGGGCTTTAGGGGGAAAAGGCCAAAAACTATTTGTCGTTTACTTTTTTATCCCAGGTTTTCCCTAATTTTGAAAATATTCCAAGATTCTGATTTCACTTAGAGGAATCAAGCACTTCCAACTGAGTGCTAAGAAACTCCTTTTTAGACAACAGAAGAGCCTAGGCATTGACTGACTAGCATCGGGAAACTTGCTGTTTTTCAGGGAATGATGTACTTGGAAGAAAGACGGCTCGTTCATCGGGACTTGGCAGCCCGTAATGTCTTAGTGAAATCTCCAAACCATGTGAAAATCACAGATTTTGGACTAGCCAGACTCTTGGAAGGAGATGAAAAAGAGTATAATGCTGATGGAGGAAAGGTGGGTATCTTTTTCGGAGCAATATTGCTGGAAAATATTGTATGATATCCTTTTATCTCCTTACATGTTATAGGAAGAAACTAACAAGCCTGAGGTTTAAGAAATAATAAAATCCCAATTCTACCATTTGCCTTATCTCCCTCCCAGGTTAAAATATATATATATAGAATATATTACCAACTTTCCTTTCTCGAAAGTAGCTAAAATAAGACAAGGTGTGTCTGGACCCATTTGGTCCCTTATGTCAGGTCCAGTGTTGGGAAGTGGGTGGATCTTTAGGAACTCTAGAAATTACACTTCAATCCAAGACCATAGAAATTGTTTCATTGATCCTAAGAACATAGGACTAACTATTACAAAGAGATACAATTTCTCTCTCATAGACTAGGGAGAAGCTTGGCTACTACCAAGAACCATAACTCATTGCAAAGATGATCATCCTGTTTAACCTCTAATCCTCCCAGACCCGATACAACAGATTTTTTTTACTTGGCTCTATTTTTTTTAGTTTTTATCATAGTGTATGATTTACCAGTTTATTTATTATCTGACCGTTTCCGCTAGAATGTAAGCTGCTATATCCCAGAGATATGAACAGTGCCACTGGCTCTTCTCCCTTGTCTGACTCTCCTGTGTTCCTGCCTCTCTCACCCACCATATGATCTCAGTCTATGCCTTAGTTCCAGCTCTTGTCTTTCCTCATTAACCCACTATTCAGCGTGTCATTTTCAGCTAACCAACGAGGATATCTCCACTCCATGTGGAGGTCCCTCTAGCTTGTGGGGAGACTTAGATCAGAAAAGGCCAAATGAAAGAAGCAAATGCAACCTGAACCTATGGTGACCCATAAGCTTATGCTAACAAAAGAATTTATTCATGTGTCATATAAATATGTTTATGATGTGCCTTATTCATATGGGCCATCCAAATGTATATTACAAATATTTTGCGATGATAGGTTTCCAAATGCTTATCATTGATTTTTACCCTAAACTCTTATATAACTATATATATTCAAATGTTATCAGAAGGCAAAGGAACACAAAATGTATTTTCTAAAAAACTTAGTTTTGTAGTATTATCTGGCTTTTCCTTGATTTTATTAGCCTATTTTTCCTGTTTACTACCAAAACGCAGCAGTTTGAGACCACAGCTTTGAAATTCACTACAAGATTGCACAGAAGTACAAGTCTATAAATCACATGACTTCACTTGTCTTGAGAACATACAGCTGTAAGATTTGTCTAAAGCAAGATTCATTACAGCTTTAAATGCCTAGTAACCATTAAGTCTTTATCAAGCCACCTGTGATTTAAACGTACTCCTTTAACACAATGTCCGTAGTCCATAAAGTCAGCTAACTCCTTGCCCATAGGGAAATTACTTTCAATGTGTCTCTGTTCCCTTTCACTGAATACCATGATTCTGTCTTAGAGTTACCTTGGTGTCACCTTGGTGAACAGCCAATCTCATGATTTCAAAGGGCTATTTAGTTTTAAGCTTTCAACTGCAAAGTAGAAGTGTTTATCTTTATTCCATAGAATCTAGTTATATTCCCAGCTCTATAATGCTGCCCTTTGTGGTTGAAGCTTATTCTGCTGACCCATCATCAGCAGGCTGTGAGTTGAGTTGTTTTTCTTGTAGTGATGATGAATTTGTACTGATCCTCTCACATTCTTTCATATAATTCCTGTTTTGAAAATGGTACATATTTTCGATACTAGCTGACCAAGACCAGGGAGGTCATTTGTGGCTGGGGAACAAAGCAAGGCTAACTTGGGAATTCATTAATCTAGGCATTTTAGTGACCAAAGTATATGAGAGGAGAAGAGAGGGGGCAAGTATAGAAAGAGTCTATTTTACCAGAGGCTTGAAATTTGTCCAAGGGTGAAAGGGATAACAGAAAATGTAAAGAATCTCATTTTTTGGGAAAAGATAAGTACATGGTTAGATGTTTAGAATTGATATTGTAAGTCATAATATTAGCTAGTAACTTAATTTCAACATTAAGAATATAGAAAGTGATACTTGTTTTATTTTTCATTGTTTATGAAGCTTTTATAAAATCTATATATCTTTAGGTTAATTCACTTTATAAATTTTAAATATTCAATTCATATGTTCCCTGTATTTAAAAACAACATTTTTATATTTATATTTATATATATACATATAGTCAAAAAATACAATTGAGGTGAATCCAGAGACTCACATTTAGGAAACAAATATAGAAATGACTTTTCATGTAACTATAAAACTTTCACTTCTTATTTCTCTATAGATGCCAATTAAATGGATGGCTCTGGAGTGTATACACTATAGAAAATTCACCCATCAGAGTGACGTTTGGAGCTATGGTAAATAAATCCTCCTTGTGAATTAAGGATTTGAAGTCAAAAATAAATATATTAGGTTCATGTAAAATATCTTAAGCCAAATTATTTTATTGTATTGGAAATACCTGTTTATAAACCTTGTTTCCTAAAGAAATTAACTCTTTTCTCTTCCATTAAAATAACCTGAAACTCTAAGTAGTATTGTTACCTACCTTTCTTGTTATTTCTTGGTTCTCTAAAATGTAATATATAAACATCTCTATTGAGTTGTATACCATAACCTTTGAGTGGTAGAAAGTTGTCTTGATAATTTTGACAGAAAAAAAAATTAGTTTGGGGACAATTTCATAGAATCTCATAGCCTTAATTTTCAACAACTTGCTGAAAACCTAACTCTAAATGCAATGAAAGTTTGGGAATTTCTGTTCTATAGTAAGAAAATGGAGATTATTGTTATAACAAAGAACAACTACTAAAAGCGGTAGATGAGAGCAATAAATGTGAGGGAGACATAAGAGACAAGACTGCTATTTGCAGCTTTCATTTTAATTTACAAACTAGTTTTGGAGTAAACAGATGTATTATAGAGTGAATAATATGAACTGGAAAAGGGTGATTTTAAAAATTAGAACATTTATTTAACCGCATTTAACTCAATTGCTGAGATGAGCTCCTTAACATGTGTCTGGCTATTTACAACTTAAGTCCATCCAGGTGTTAGTAAGAATGAATTAACACCTTTTCCAAGTTTAAATATACTATATAAAGCTACCATTTCTTATAAATAAAAAGCACAGTGTCTATTTCAATGAAAAGGTGGTGGTGGGGCTTAAATCACGGTACAATTTATTCTGCTCAAATTTGACCTTAGTTTTATGGTTTTGTTTTTATTTTTAGAAAAAGGAATTAAGCCATTCAATCACTAAAGAATGTACACCACTTATCTAGAAAAGCATAAATTGTCTTTTAAAACAATTGAGACATTTCTGTGAAGTGATTTTCCCCCCGCACGTGTATGCCACAGGAGGTGCTAACATTTCCATGAAGGCCTCACATATTCTACTCAGCTTAGAAGTAGAAAGTGTTGTGTTTGAGATTGAGACAAGTGCAGAGGAATGCTTGACAAAACTTAGCTGTTAAACTGTTAGGACTAAATAGAAAAACTATATAAAAATGTCTATATATGATAGATTTATATATGTTATGCATTAGCAGGTAGATAAGCATTTGTATATTATTTTATATAGATTAACATATGATATAGATACATAATTATATTTTATATGATATAGTTATACATTACCATATATATGTTTTTATTTTCCTTGTTTTCCAACTTATATTTCCCTTAATTAAATGTGGCAATCTGCTGCAGGCATATTTTAAATTACCTCTAAAATAAGTAAAAAAAAATATGTTTGTAAATGTTGGCAGGGCACATTTTTAATAGTAAAATTTATCTTTGGGGGAAAATCCTGTTACTCAGGCTGTAATGTTGATCTTCATGTTGAGTTACAAGATCTCAGGAGCCATTCAGTGAAAATAAACAGATTGATTGATTGATTGATAGATGGTACTCTGTTTTGAAACATAGCCCAGCTCATCAATCTATATACACAAGGCATTTTAAGATTTTTGCAGTATATCATACTTGGTTGCAAAAGGCATACAAGGCAGAGAAAGATACATAATCTTGTTTACAGTGCACTTTTGTGGAAAATTGCCACTGGGTGCATCTTTATTTTCATAAAAATAAATATGCATCAGCTATGCTTTATATCTTCAAATGATAGAATTGTATTGTAAATTTTGAGGATGTTTCTGATTTGGTTTTCTTGAGATTGTCCTTCTACATGAAGCCATTTCTGTTTAACCCTGTCTTGTCATTCCTACAAAGATGCAATTGGATTATTATTGGCAAGAGTGGGGTTTTTGATGTTTCTGCTTTTGTTTTTGCATTTAGATGTTTCTTTTATATTTTCTATTATTTTAATTTTTAATGGCTTCATATTTTGCTTATATTAGAAGTTCTGATAGAGATGTGAGAGTATCTATTCTGTCTCAATAAAATGTTCTCATTAAATACATATTCTATATATGGCTGTCTGACTAGAAATGGACAGTCATCTGCTTCTTAACTTGTTCCAGCCCGCCTCATGGACACTGAGTTTAAATCCCTCGTTCTATGCAGCCATCTTTAGTATGCAAAATTAAGTAGGATTTAATAAGGATCAAAAGTTAAATTGTGTCACTAGTTACACATTTACATTAAACATAAGAATTATAAGATGTAAATATTAACCAAAAACATCAGGTATTTGTTAATGATTCTATGACGAAGGATAATTTAAAGCTCACATACATCTTTATATTTTAAGCTTTGTATTTTTATCAGTCAATGATAACTGTTATGAACTACAATAAACTTCAGTTTGAATAAATAATTCATTGGAGATGGCAGTGGAAAAGAAAACATAGCCCTAATTAATGGATTTTCTATTAAAAGATACCTATATATATACATATGCACCAATCAAAATTCAGTTGGTAATACTATTGTGCCCAGATAGCTATTTCTGAACTTGCAATCTTTATCCTTAAGAAAAATATAACTTCTTAATAGTATAATTATTAGATCATAAAGAAGATCTCTATAGTGTATATATTATTGCTCAATTCAGAATCATTATTATTATCAAAGCTGGCTATTTGCATGATAATATTTAGGGTGTTTGCTTTTTACAGAGGAAATCAGTGTTCTAGTGATTCAAGAAGGTCATTTCATTTTCTAAGGAATCAACTATTATTGATTTTCTTCAATTTTGTGATGCCCACTTCATATTTATTATATCTTACATAAGATCATTCCTCACTCAGCTCTCATATGTGCTAAAGAAATGAATCTGTTTTGCTCCACTTGTTCTATTTGTTAGCTAAAAAGAGAGCCACGATGATTTACCACAACTTAAGGTAATCATTCTGGAATCCCAGCTTAGCCTTTAGGGCTTTTAATAACAAAGATGTTAATCTCAAAATTAGTCAATGTCAGATTTTACCTGTGATCATATTTACTTGGTACTGAATACACATATATATGGTAAATATAGTGTTTTATAGGCTCTAATGTGGTGTACTGAAACTTGAGTCAGCAAACTTTAGCATTAATATGTAGAAATAGGGAACACATTCTATATTCTGATGTCCACTCTGAAGTATCTCTGCTACCCATTAAAAATTTCAAGACAATAATAAGAAAATTTAATTTCCCACAGAGATTAGGGCATTGGGCTTCTCATAATGGATGTAGGAAACTGAAGAGCCTTTCTTTGGATTCTTTTTGACTGCCCTGCAGGAAGCATTCTTGGCATATTGCTGTGTTATTCAAAGGATGTTGTTAAATATGCTTATGTAAGAATTTGATCTCCAATCTAGGAGTCACCATCTGGGAACTGATGACCTTTGGCGGAAAACCCTACGATGGAATTCCAACCCGAGAAATCCCCGACTTGTTAGAGAAAGGAGAACGTTTGCCCCAGCCTCCCATCTGCACTATTGACGTTTACATGGTCATGGTCAAATGTAAGATTGCAAAACAACTGTATCATCACCATCGTCATTCTTAGGAAAGTCATAGTACAGATTAATCTACCTGCATATATTTCTGTGTATCGACAAATATTCAAGTTCAAAAATAATTATGAACAGAGCATGTCAACACCTGTATTTATTATGATTATTGTTAATATGAAGCAATATTATGTTTCCATTCTATGAAGTCAAAATTATACGACTCTTACTCTTCTTAGTCATGTCACTTCGATTATCATTTCCATGACTGTCAAATTGCCGTAAAGACAAAATATAATTGGTCACAATAATGTTAGTAATCTTTATGGGAAAATGGGAAAATAGCAGACTAAATAAATAATCTAAATATAAAAAAAGAAAGCTTGACTCCGATAGTTAAAAAATTGAATTAAATGGAAATAGGTTTACCAGTTTTAGTTAACATGAAATTAGCAGAGCAAAGTAGAAAGTGGGAAGAAATGAATCTACATTAAACTAAAAAGATTATGAATGCTTTCTTTTATTCAGTTTGATCATTTGTTTACATCTAACTCTCTTTTTCTCCTTTCTGTGCCCCAGACACATATGTATTATAAACATGTTTTGGAAGCCTAGGCTCTTAATTTAAATAGAATTAAGGAAGTCTCTGGCGTTTCTGACTTAATTTAAGTGAGATTAACATTCAGCAATCTTTCTTGTGTAATCTGGGGTTTTCCCCTTTTGATTTACGCGGGGTTAGCAAAGAAACAAAACGGTGAAGGTGAATAAGCATCTTATTAATAAGAGACTTTGGACCCAGGTCTGCTCAGATTTATATTCATGACATGTGTGATACATTCTGACAGTAAGGGAAGAAATAAAAAATGTGCTTTCCAGTTCAGGTCAGCGTGCCCTTTCCTCTAAGCACAGTTTTATTTACTCAATATTTAGTTAGAAAGAAACTGATACCTCACTGTGAAGTTAACCTTTTTTTGGTTCCAATAGTTCCAGAAACACCTATTTTCTCATTAGTGTCTTGGCATCAACAGCATTTTTTTCTTTTTTTTAGAGGATGCTTATAAAATATAGAGCATTTGAGCTTTGTTAGGAGAGAAAAAACTTAGGTGACATTAATTATGCATGTAAAAACACCCAGAAACTACCCAGAACAAGAATAAAAATTGAAATCCCAAAAAAGGAGAAACAGCTTTATAGCCTTATTGAATCAAACATTATTCAGTAGTCATCTATGGAAGAAAGTTTGAAAATATGCATGCATTATATAATTTTATCCCGTAACTAGCATGAGATGATTTAGATACTTCATTTACATACTCTGATGAAATAATGAAAAGTCAGGAAAACGTTGTGCCTAATAGGGAGTTTTACCTTGCTTTTGAGAGCTTTAATACCTAAGAAAAGGGTCATTTGGCAAGAAAATCAAGAAGCTTGGTGCTTTTATTCTTGTCATCTCATCAGCTAAACAGAGCCTGGGGAGATAAGACCCACTTTATCTAGACTCCAGCTAAATACTCATAATACATACCTTGGAAACTGCTGATCGTATTTTTATGCTGGAAAGGCTAATACTAAGAAAAGCTAGTGGCTATTACTGAACAAACATTACTAACCACTTTGCATTCCTTTTTTTCCTACCAGGAAGACAGTAGCAAAGAAAGTTGCTTTCTATCCCTTTGTGCCCGTGTACACATTGTACCACATTGCAACCAAAGCTTTTGTTCCATGTCACTCTTGATACAAAACGATAAATTATATTTCAATCATCTCTTCTATAACCATAAAAGAAGAGTTAAAAAAAATTCTCTCCACACCAAAGTAAAAAAGATCTGAGATTCTGTAATTTCCTATAGTTAGCCTAAGTTATATTTTCTAGGAAAGAAAATAATTTTACCTTAGATCAACAAAATAAAATGTTCATGTTCTTCTATACTAATTAAATTTAGTTATGAATATCAACAAGCTGATTGAGATAGAGCCTCACCTATTACATTGTTTCTTTCATTAGCTTTCTTTGTTTTTCAGATCGTTATTATTAATATATATGTTTCAAACTTAGCTTGTATTTCCATGAAATTTACAACTCACTTCTTCATAATTATGGATATAGTGACTCTTCTATTGTGTGTGAATTTCTAGGTTGGATGATTGATGCTGACAGTAGACCTAAATTTAAAGAACTGGCCGCTGAATTTTCGAGGATGGCTCGAGATCCTCAAAGATATCTAGTTATACAGGTTGGTACATTTGACTTAGATTTTTAAGAATATCCCAATGGCAAACTCACTACAAAATATGAATAATATCTAGACTTTGGAACCGTGGAAATCACCACTCACAAATCGATGAACTAAGGAGAATGTCATGTGAAATAACTTATGGAAAGAGCCTTTTACTTGATGTCAGAAGCAGCTCTAAGCATCTTCCCTTAGCATTCAAGTGCCTCCGCTATTGAACAACCAGATAATGATGATTACTTATATACATAAAAAGGCCTTTATCCTCAGACAAGCCTTCTAGCATTCTGTTTTCTATTAACATTATGTGTAAGTCATGTTCATTATTATAATCTTTCCTTTTCAAAATAAATGGAAGATGGATTTTTGTTTTAATCATGCCTATGGTTGAAGATAATGAATTAAGAATTTCAATATATTGACATTTAATTTCCTAGAAAAATATTTTTAAATAAGTTTTGTTTTGGGAGGTATGCAGTATCCAAGTAATAAGTCAGATTCAAACTAACTGATGTGCATATGTATCAAATAACAGTCCAAAAGAACATTTTTATCTTTAGCACTAGAAAAAATGGATTAGATAACTTAAAAATTGTAATGTATTTCTTTACGATTATTTTTACCTAAGCCATAAACAGATGGACCTTGTATTACACTGAATTAAATTCCCTCAATAAAACAAGGTAGGCTTTATCTTCATATCAATGGCCTGACATGAAGATAAAAGCCAGGTTTTAGAAGAGAATGGTTTCCAGCTTTTTCGCAAATTAACTTTCATAAGCAAATTGTTTACAAAAATATCACATAAATTTGAAAAAATAAATAAAAGTATGTTTAAGAAAAAGATGAGGTAAGAAAGGGTATTACAAGGGTTTTGGTGTCTCTTCCACACCCGCATATGTTATTTGCCCCTTGTTCTGTGACTGCGAGTGCTATTGTTTTAACAGTGTGATACTATAGAACAAATCATGGAGCGTACGTGTCCTGATAGTGCTACTATCAAACCAATAGAATAAAATAGAGATTGATAAGTCAATTGCCCTTATTATTTATTCTTAAAGTCACAGCTCAAACGCCATCTTGGCAATGAAGCCCACCATTATTCTCAGATCTGAAACGGATTATGCCTTCCTCAAAACAGCCATAACATTCTGCTCTATTCATCTCTAATGACATTTATCACATTCTTCTTGTATTAAATTCATTTATCTTACCCTGTCATATCTAACTATGTTATAAGCTTCTTTATGGCTGGTGGTTACGCTAAAGAATTATTTTTTTAAATGAGTGCATGAATTTTCAACCATCTGTTTTGATATTACATAAATTTGCTGCAAAGGCTACATATTTAAGATGAAGGGAAGAATAATTTTCGTGTTGTCTGATGGGCAATCCTTTAGGGTGATGATCGCATGAAGCTTCCCAGTCCAAATGACAGCAAGTTCTTTCAGAATCTCTTGGATGAAGAGGATCTAGAGGAGATGACGGATGCTGAAGAATACCTGGTCCCTCAAGCTTTTAACATCCCGCCTCCCATCTACACTTCCCGAGCAAGAATGGACGCAAATAGGGTAAGAAGTAATTGTATACCACTTTTTATATTATTTATGAGAGACAAAATCATGTATATGTGAGTAATAAAATTACAAGATAATTCTATAGCTCAAATCAGTGTGATTCCTGGATTAAAAACATATACCAACAAAAGAATGCCAAGCTTGCCACGTGTAGTTAATTTGGGAAGACAAGCATGGACAATACAACACACTCTCCGAAACGCTTCAAGATTTCCAAAGGAGAAAGGCTTTCTTTGTCTTAAATTAGTTAAATCTTAATTATTAAAAATCTGCAACTGGTTCCAACTAATAAAACTGTACATGTTTATAAATAAACGAAAATTCTTACCAAAATAGGCTTTCTACTTTTCCTTCTTAATAAGATGATATGACTTACTAGTCAAGAGGTAATACAAGTATAACTCTCTTTCACTCACTTAAAAGATGTTAAATATTTTCTGTCAAGTTGAAGTAGAAACAGAAAATTGTGCAATCCTCTGAACTCAATCAGTCATGTTGGGAAGACTGCTGAATCATTGCTAAGACGTAGATTTAAGTTTTGAAAGAAGCTTCCGAAAAGAATTTCCATTTCATTTTAAATATTAAACCCATCTATATGAAGACCATTATTTCTCTGAAAACTGTCAATCCATGTATTCATTTGTTTATTTTAAAAATTTCATCCATCATTCATTCAACATGTATTGAGTACCTCTGCCTGTGAGACGTTATTAGACACTTGAGGTTCAAACAATTTTGACATGACCCCTGCCCTGGAGAAGTGCCCGGGTTAGTGAAAGACTCACACAGACATAGGGGCAGAGTACAGCATGATAAGTGTCAAAATTGAGTGTTTATTGGCCATTTTGGAGCATGGAGAAGCAGTAAAATAATGTCTGTAATCAATTTCTTCTGTTGATAAGACATAAACACCATGCTTAATTTTTTCTAGAAAGCAGTTCTTTTCTCTTAGTCTCCTCCTCCATCTAAGAACATTATCATGGCTCATGTAACAAACGCTAACCTATTTGTCTTGACCACAAGCATAAGAAAACTTTCAAGTTGCTGTCTATTCTCTAAAATGAAGTTATTTGCTTTATTTCAGGTGGACAGTGATACTAAAGTAATACCTAGAGTTTACTATGTGTCAGCACATATGTTAACGCTCTTAATCCTTACAGCAATCCCATGAGGTTCTGTGATTATTATCTCCATCTTACCAATGAAGAAACTTGTCACAGTTAAGTGATTTGATGGGTGTCACACCGTTAGCCAGTGGGAGAGCAGGGTTCTGATGTAAGCAGTTGTCTCTAGCACACATACCATTGCGTCAGAGTTACTGGAAAATGTTATTTTCATGCTACGGTTGTTTTTCTTTGAATCAACCTCGATGTCTGAGATGTATGTTGTTTAGGAAATTTCCCAGGTGATTTTCTTATAAAATGCATCTCCCAACCTGCCCCATGCCTTTTGCCCATCCACCCCTGTTTAGAAGGTCTGGTATAGAAAGAGGCAAAGAAGGAGACCTCAGTTAATTTTTCTTTTCTATGAAATATATGTCTTGCAGCCCAGTGGCGAGGAGATAGAACTAAAACATATATAAACCAACTGATAGATATTGAACATCAATCTTTTGTTTATGGGAAGAAGCAAAGTCTTTAAGGCGTGTGAAGGAGGCATTTTTTTTTCTTTGTACACTTAGCAAAATGGCCAAATTATTACTTTGGTATTTATAGTTTTATGTGACAAATTTATTACTTTCATTAAAACAGGGAAATGTCAAGAAAAATAGGTTTTCTTCCTTAAGGTGAATTGTTATACAGGCTTGAATCTTTTTCTTTTCATAAGGATTCTCTAATTCCAACTTTCTGTTTAATTTATGCTCAATGCAAGGAATTCTTAAGAAAGGTTTGAGTTAACTCAATAGAATTAATGAAACAAAGTAGAAGCCACCTTAGGAATTATTTGGCCTTTAGTCATCATTTCTTATTCCACATTATTATTTAAACAATGTTATCTGTACATTTCTTTTTACTTTTTCAGGTCCTTGTTAAAGGAATTGTGCTTAAATATCATTTTATTTTCAGGCGTTAAAGAGCCTTATTAATCACCTATATTTTCCTATTTTTTTTTTAAATCTGGCTTTATGTAACTTTTATGGTAATTTCTAATATATGCAAATACAGTTCCCCCCCTTCTTTCCGATAAAACTAAGTTATACTATTTTATAGTTAGAAGATAAATTACTTCAATTTTAGGTTTTGTGGCTGACTTATGTGGGAAGGGAATATCTAAAAGTGAATTTTAATCAAATGTTTTTGAGCATATTTGTTGGACTTTGAAACCAAAAGGTAATTCATTTTTTAAATATAGACTCCCCTGGTCACCACCTGAGAAGCTTTAGGTAGTGTTCTGAATATCTTTACACTTTTTCTCCTTTGTAAAATAAACACAGTAGTACTTATATGACTGTTAGGCAATTAACTTAAAAAAATTGCGAAGTATCTGAAGGGCCAGGCAAATGTATACTTATTACCCTCTTTTTAGAATCACTCAAATTTCATTTCTGTTTGTTTCCTTGTGAATATCTTAAATAAGTGCATTCTTTTATAAAGTTTTCTACACATTATCTATGAAAAACCTATTGATGCAATCACTATTTGACAAGCAAATTATTTCTACTGATGTGTTCTTATAGCAAATAAGTTATAGAAGTTATTTCTTCTATAGCACTTTTCATGATTTCAAGTTCCCTATGTACTTTGACAAATTATAACCTTGAAGCCATGAGTCAACTAAAAATACAATGTTGATATTTATTCAGCGTCAATAGATACAAATGCAAATAATGCTAGAAAACACTCAACTAATTTATAGTTGTTGTTATTGTTAGATATCCTTTTAATATTATCTTAAGTACTTTTATCAAAATAATATACCAAAAGCACTTACTCTGGCATGATGTAGATAGGAGAACATGAGATGCTATCTAACTTCTGCAAACTTTAGTTCTCTACATCTGTAAATGGGGATTAAAAAAATTCCTCACAGAATATTGTGAAGATTGACTCTTCAGTATATCTAAGCGTGTTGCTCATTGATGGGCCTGTAGTAGATGCTCAATAGTGTGGAAATAAATGAAGACCAACCAAATAAGAGAAGCAAAGGCTATCTGTTCAGAAGTCGCTATGGCAAGGGAGTATTTGTGTTTTCTTAGACTCCAAGGCAAAAACGTGAGTGGGAAGCTCTACATTGGAGAAAGAGAATGTTCCAGGTCGGCCCTAAGTGAAGACTGTTGGTGTGGGGAAGCTGGAGTTGGGCTGACTAGAGGTGGGGCATCCTATGTGATTGGTTAAGCATGCATAGTTGGCTGTCTCTGGTTGGTTCTAAGTTGAAAATGGGGACAAAAATTAGGGAAACTGTTAGTTATTAATCAAGTCCTGGACATTTTGGGCCGATTGTTACAGAAGTTATTATTTACCTTACTTGGTTGCTACTAGAGATGGCAATCTGGCCTCCTGCACGTCTGACATAGTAGACTGGCTTCCTGGGCTAGTAGATATGGTTTCCTGGGCAGGAAGTTGTGAGTTAGACTTCTATTTTTATGTATGATCTGGCCATTTTCTGTTTGTACAGTCAGTCTATCATCAAGAGGTGTCAGGTTCCATTGCTGCCTTTCTTCTCTCTTGAAATATTTATTTAAACCCATACTGTCTGATATTTTCAATTTAATGTTCAGTACAGTTTTGGAATTTCTGCACAGATTTTTTTTCTGTTAATGTGGATAAGTTTTGTCTTTTTTTTTTTTTTTGAGTTACCTAAATTTGTTTGTTTAGTATAACGAGTTGTATATTAAATGCAACAGCAATCGGTAAAAATAGCTAAAAAATTGATGTGGGTAAAGATATTTTAGCTTTAATGATCTTAGAAAATTTAATTCAATGTAAAGACATTTTTATGGAGAAAGACTTGGTTTCAGTTGTTGTAGGATCATTCAGTCATCTGTGGTGAGGGGTTTTAAAGACTACTGCTCCACCTCTTTTAAAACATATCAGCTGACTCTCAGTTGTCCAGGCCAGAAGAAGACAGAGGGATTGTAGCTGCTGCACGTGGTGGGGTGGGTGATCCACAATGGATCTGTCACTACAGTTTAAACTTTTTTCCACTTCTTTCCAATCTGCTAAGAAATAACCAGATTAACAGATTTGCGTTTTCCTCCCCTTCTTACCCTTTCTATCCTAGGATGGGTATACAAATGATTTGAAAAACTGGACAAATTGTAGGTAGGAGAGGTGAAGGATGAAGAAAAATAAAGGAATTTGGTATCTCAAAAATTTGATCAGTTTCTGAATAGTTGAGTATAGGTTTAATATCTGACTGCTGAGAAAGTATGGTTCGATATCCTTTATTTTGTAGCACTGTTACTTTGCCCTCAGATTAGACTTCACAGCTTTGATAAAGATATTTTAGTAAGTGTACCACACACATTGTAATTACTTTAGAGATTTTTACTAATTCATCACTAAAAAAAAAATTTTAAATATAAGAAACCTTTGGTCTCTCCTGTAGGATTTATGATATTGTGCTATATATGCTTACTAATGATGCAAAAAATAGTAGAAATTCAAGCAAAATGAAAATGCAAAAACAATGACATCATTCTCAATAATGACATTTGAAACTATGAGAGTTTCAGTTGAGTTTGTCTTTATAGTTCAAGAAAAATCATGACTTCTTATTTTATGAAATAATAAAAATACTAATAGTTACATCAGCTAAAACTTACTGAGTGCTTACTATAACTCAGGTACTATGCTAAGTGTTTTAGATTAACTATTTCACTTTTACTTCACAAATCCCTTGTGAGATAGGTACTAATATTCGTCCCATTTTAAGCATTAAGAAAATTGAGCTGTGGAGAGTTTAGATAACTTACAAATGATAAGGAGCTAGAAACTGAGTCCAGCCTTCAACAGTCCCACATGTGGGCCATATTCCTAAAGTAACAGAGGGGCCAAAGGAAGGAGGTTTCTCATTTCAAGTTGCTATTAAACTTCTCGCAACTTATGGAACTAACTCTTATCATTCCCTTAACAGTAATCCCATAAAGGAAACTAAGTTGGATGTCAGGACTCTCACATTCTAGAACTAACTCTCTGGCACTTTAGCCTTGGTCGTATCACTCAACCAGACTCAGTTTCTTCACTTCAATAATGAGAAGACTGAACTAGATCACCTAGAAGCTCCTTCTAATTTTAAAACTGTCTTTTTGTAGAATGATTTTTCAAAATAATCATTATACTTTATGCATTTATATTATATTTTCTTCTAGAGAATATTTAATTGGAAAATGGCCAAAAACATTTTAGGTTACCTTTATACACAACTTTTTTTCTTATGTGATTGAATATAGAAGAGAAAAACCTAAGGACACAAGCTAAGGAAGCATCTCATAGCTAAACGATGTAGTGGGAGAATTTTGTGATGATATAACAAGGTTACTCTGGTTGCAATTTACCAAGGATCAATATCAATTTTAACAACAGCTGCAACTTGATGATAAATGGTTGTAGTCTCAGGTTATTGGTTTTACATGTCTTCCAAAATATGTCAAGGATTCCTGCTCTGTATTGTTGATTTGATGCTTCAGATATTTTTTTAATCTATTCAGCCAGAAAAAAGAGCTCTTCCTACTAAGACATTCCATATCACCAGGTATTTTTTGCCCCAAACTATTCTCCATCTAAGTAATCTTTTAAGTTGTTCAATTTATTATGATGAAAGAGTAAATGAATTAATATACTGAATGTTTATCCTGGGCTCTGCACTGTGTTGAGCAATGAGGGTATAGAGTTGCAAGACAAAGATTCTGCCCTCAAAGAGTTTATATTTTAGTTGAGGAGATAATATGCTGAGAACAATATGCCAGGTATTACAGACAAAAGACAAAGGAAATCAAATCAGCCTAAGAGGCTATAGAAAGTCATTTTAGCTGTATGGGTATTGGAGGATGAGGATCTTTGGAACAGAAGTAGAGTTTTGGGAGGGCAGGTCTGAAATGGGTCAGGAGGAAGAAAAACAAAACAAAACCAAAAAAACCCGACAAAACAAAGGCAAGAAGGTGTGTTTTTAAATATACTTTTAAAATCCTAGTTTTTGTAATATTTCTGTACTGTACATGATTGAGAACTCTTTCACGTTATCACAGAAGGTAAGATGGGCCTTCTCTCAATGATTCTATTTTTTGTCAGTGTTATGAAGGGTTGAAGCATGGTTTTGAAATTTCTTGCTTCCCATTAAAATCATCATTTTCAAAACAAAATCCTTATTTTGCATTCCCAAAAACAGCTCTCCAATTCCTATCTTCTGTTTCTCCTGTCATGTGTCTAATTCAGGCCCTCATCACTTCACAGGAATTACTACAATATCTCCCTGACATTCACCTTTTTTTTTTCTGTAAACAGGCTCTATTTCTATATATAGTACAATAGTGTCTACATTGTCCTAAATGAAAAACAATATTAGTGAATATTTCAAGCATCTGATTATTTATCAACACTAATCCTTTTCATTTTATTTTGTCTTCATCTATTCAGAGTTCGTCTTTCATTCTCATCAATGGGATGAACTTGAAAGATATATGTTATATTAGATCTCTCTTTATATGATATATAGTCCTATTGTCGCTAACAGTTGAGGGATTTTTGAACATTTATCCTAGGAAATGCTGTGGTCATTCCAGTTGACCAGTCACTGCAATTTATTTTTCTCTACTCTCTAGCTCGCACACATAAAATTGCCCAGAGCTGCAAGCATTATCCCAACGTCGATCTCTTTCAAAGTATAAATCATGTTGATGCCTTCTGTTAGTTTGGAGGTGGGAGTGGGTAGTTGATTTATTTTAACAAAGAGCTATCTCTCCTAATGCGTTATAGATTTGTCTTTTTCTTTCTTAAATAAGAATATAACATCAAATTGCATTTGTTTATTCTTCCAAGTTCTTAGAAATTTCAGGGATATCAAAAACAATTCTGATCTCTCTGACTTTCCACTAATTTGAGAGTATCCCTCGCTCTTTCAAATAATTAATTTAT